GAGCACAGAAAGGCCTTTTAAGTGCTTCCTTTTCCCTTCCATATCCTGCAAAGCGGCTTAGTAAGGGCTTGCTGACTGGGATCCGGCGAAACAGACTGTTTGGGACCAGGAGACCAGAAGATGGGCATGTGTCACCCTGAGCAGAGGACAGGGCGCTGAGTTCTCCTCTCTAGCCACAGGGGACAGGCTCCCACAGGGTGTTTCAGGGACCTGTCACTCATGCCTCTGGCTGACAGCCCACTGCTGGAGGCCCTGGGGCCCGTGGCCGGCCTGTCTCGGGCCAGCACTCTGAGCACGTGCAGACGGCGCATTGGAGGTGGAAAGAAAGTGCGTCCATTTCACTGCAGTCCGCAGGGTGCACGCTGCTGAGGACCCTCCCTGTCACCTGCCTTGAGACAAGCCTCACTCAGCCAGAGAGAGGAGGTGAGACAGCTGGATTGCACCCAGCAGAGGGGCTGGGGTAAGTAAGGAGCCGGCCTATCTTTTACATTCCCTGCAAAGGGTTATGGTCAGTCTCAAGGACTTGCGTATGATTATTATTTTTAATCTTCACCTGAGGTTATGTCTATTGCTTCTAGAGAGAGAGGAAGGAGGAGAGAGAGAAACGTCGATTGGTTGCCTCCTGTACGAACCCCAGCCTGGGCTTGAACCCGCACCGTAGGTATGTGCCCTGACTGGGGATTGAACCCTCAGCCTTCCCATGCAGGCACGACACTCCCACCCACTGAACCTCCGGGGCGGGGCCAGGCTCGATTTTCAGAAGGCGCTTGGTCGTTCCTCCCAGGCAGGCACGGTGCAGAAAGAAGGGGCTGCCCCTTCACTGACCTGAAATCCTCTCCCCTTGAGTCTGCCATTGCACGGACACCCCACCTACCCAGCTGCTGGCTCTCCCGGGAGCAGGTGTCACGCAGGTGTTCTCTGCTCAGAAGCCCTGGCGCCCTGGCTGGGAGCCGGCCAGCAGGCTCTCCCGGGCCCGTGGGCAAGGCCCTCCCACCCTCCCCCAGCTTCCCAGGGCCTCAAAGGTCCAGGCTTCAAATGCTAACGCTTCCCAGTCCTCCCCAAAGCAGCCTCGGGTCGGCATCAGCGAGGGGACCTGCGGCCGAGGACAGGGAGAGGGCGCCGCACACAGGGCCTCAGCCATCCCTGGTGCCTGGGAGGGACTGTTTGGGGGAGGCCTTTCCACCGGGGAGATATGGGGAGGGAAGCGTCAGCGGCGCAGAGACGCGCAGAAGAGATTCATCCCTTCGGCCCTTGGGAGGCAGGGGCTCCGGGGACTCTAGGCGGAAGGGAGACCTGCGGCTTCCGGGAACAGCCACCTGTGAGCCTAGTGGGTGGCCCGAGGGGCAGGCCGGTGGGAGGAGGGCACCGCTCACCTCTCCAAACGCAGGGAAGGGTCAGAAGTGAATTACCCGTCAGGTTCTGACTGCCCACCCGCCACCTTAGCCAGCAGGGCTCAGCCTCCGGCCCTTGGGGCAAATGAGCGGGGCAGTGGAGCAGGGACCCCAGACCAAGGGACTGGAAAGGGCATGGATCCCACCTCCATCCCCACCTCCCCGCGCCCGGTTCCCCGCCCCAACCTGTCGCTCTGCAGGTGGGGGAGGTGGGACAGAGGGGCACCAGAACCAGCTGGGGGCGGGGCGAGCAGGAGGTGGGGCCCACAGGCAGGGGCGGGGGCGAGGCGGGCTCCCTCAAGGGGCTGGGGTGGGGGTGCAGGCCCAATGCAGCAGCCCCATAAATCTTCCGGGAAGGAATTAGTTAACGTGTCAATTAATTAAGGAAAAGAGGGTCCAACCCCGGTTAAGCTGGACTCCGGGCCCAGGGTTATGGGGAAACCGGTGTCCACCCCGCCGCCTCCAAAGTGCAGGGGAGGGGGACTCTGGGTGCAGCCCCTTCCCTTTCTGAGAAGTGACTGAACCGCGTCGCAGGGGCAAGGCCAGAGGCAGGCGAGTGCACAGCCGTGGCAGACGCCCTCCCTCCCTTGCATCCCCTGGGCCACTGCGCCCCACCTGAGGGGGGGACAATGACCTCCAGCGGGAGACCTGGGGGTCACACCCTCTGATCTCCCGGGGCAGCACCTCGCTGGGCTCCTCAGAGGGGTCTGCTGACCCAGAGCCCCCTGCGGGGACCCGATTTTAAACAGGGAGGCTCTATAAATACAGGCCGGGGTGGTGGAAGGGACCCTGGGACAGGGCCCCGGTGGTGCCCCCCGCACCGGGCGGCGCATGCCGGCCCGAAGTTGAAGACGGATGAGAACCAGTAGTTAAAACCCACATTATATAGTTCTGTCGGGTATAAAATTGCATGTGCTGACCCATATATCCTACCTGGAAACGGACTGGAGTCACTTAAAATATGGCAACGTCGATGGGACTAATTAATTGGAAATAAGAAACGAAAGAATACAATTAAACGAGAACAGAATCATTTTCTAATTTAATAGAGGGACATTTATAAAGATCACAAGCTAAAAGGCATCGAATGATTCTATCGACATGCTATTAAATCAGCCCCGGGGCCCCGGGTGGAGGAGGAGGCGGCCGCAGGGTCCGGCAGCCTGGGCGACACTGGCCAGCCTGGCGCGGGTCCCCAGAACTGGCCGTCCCCCTGCCCATCCGCTCAGCCCGGCCGCGGCCCGCACCCCGGGGGTCCACAGATATATTACAACAAAATCACTAATTGGAAAATGAAATTGTCAATAAAGTAACACCCCCCCGCAGATACAATATCCTTAAATATTAAGATATTTTATTAGACCCATTTCCTAACAATAATTTATTGCAATAAAACAGACACCGCAGGTCCCCTTAAATTGTCTTTTCATAATGAATAAATTTAAGCGGGCTAATTAATATATAAACTAGCCCAATTTGTCAATTTGATTTGTATTTTAGTTAATTGTGAAAGTAATTACCACATGGTCAAATTAACAGCTTTCTGGAAATGACCAAGCCTGAGGTTTTATTTCCTTCCTGGGTGAAGAAAATTCATTTTTCCAAGCTCTTGATGTGATGAATAAAAGTCATAAATCTGGGTGATTGGTGCAGGCAGAGTCTAAATGGCTTCATATTTCATTTTAGGTTTAATAGAAATATTCATGCTCTGTTTTAATGAAATTAAATTGAGGGGGGATGGGGCCGGGAGGTGGCGGTGGCCGGGGCTTAAAGGGACAGTGCACACAGTGCCCCCCCCTGCGGAGGGCCGGCAGCCAGGTCACCTCTGCCGCAGCTCCTGCCTTTGGGAGTCCAAGGCCTGGCTGCACCAGCGGAGGTGGCAGCTCCAGAGCCCCAGTCCAGGGTGGCCCTGTGCCCTCTCCCACGGCTTGCTGAGGTCACTCAAGGTCAGGTCACCTGGGCGCAGGTGCAGTTCTGCCTGTGGTCAACACTCAAGCCCTAGCTGCCCAGAGGGGAGTCGGGGCCTGCATTCGTTCCTCTCCCCTCTGTGGCCTGGCGGGGACATGCAGAGAACATGGGGCCTGGGACAGACACTTTGTGGACTCCCCAGAGCCCTCGCTGCACCCTCTGGGCCCTGCAACATCCCACTCGGCTCTCTGTCCTGAGTTCACCTCACCTTGAAGGTGGCTGGGAGCAAACTGGGACCACCAGGACGCAGGACAATCACCCTGGAGCCTGGGCTGCTGAGGCCACTCCTTGGTCCTCGGAGAAAGCGGGGATGTCTTCAGACCCAGAAGCTTTGCCACATCCAATCCCATCGCAGTTTGGGGAGCGCGTGAGGTCCCTGGGGTGTCCCTGGGGCAACCCCAGGCCGCAGGACTGTCCTGGCCCCGCAGCCCCTTAATGGAGCTGATCTTGTGACTTGTTGATTTCCCCTGAGCAAATAAGGCTTTGATGCAGTTCCAGCCCGAGTGGTTAGCTGATGAATTGACGAAAACTAATCAGCTTTATTGGGAAACAGGTTAAGGGCGCGGGCGTGTCAATAATTCTCAGCCTGACCCACTCATCCATTAGCTGCGGCAGGCTGATTAGAGTGAGAAGACCCTCCCGCGTTTCGCGCTGAAATTGCTTTCATAAACTCACCATTATTAGCAGTCGATGCGAGAAGCTTAATTTAGAGAAGACACCCCAGGCATGTCACATCTATCATCCGGGTTTATGTATCATTATCTCATTTACAGAATGTCGCAGTGTAATATGTGTTTTTGGCAATAGGCTTGGCCAGGCGCCTGGGCTGCGGCTCTTTGTAGCGGCAGGGTGGGGGCCTCCTGCCTCCTTTGCCCCCAACCCCGGCCCGGGAATGGGGGCGGCTAAGGGCCCTGGCTGGAGGACGCTTCCCAGGTGCTGGGCTGGGACGATTGGGAGCCAACACACACACACACACAGGCTCACATGCAAGACTCTCACCGTCCCACAGCGCTCACGCCCCAGCTCCCTCCCTCCCTCGAGTGGCCCTGGCAAGGGGCCCAGTGTCAGGATTTGCTCCGACCATCACAGCCTACCGGTTGGGAGTTCGAGGTTCTCCCCGGCGCCCCTCCCCCTCCCAGGAGCTCCAGCATCTGCATGCAGTCCACTCAGCTCTGCTCCACGCAGGGCATCTGGTCTCGCTGGGCACCGTCCAGGCCTCAGGGGACAGCCCTCTGCCCAGAAGGCCTCTCTCCACCCTCCCGGCTCAGTGGGCGGGGGCCTGACCTTCCCTCTCCTGGGCGACTGCTGTCCTCCCCTGGTGGCCCGGGCTCTGAGGCCCAGATGCGCGAGGCTGCGGGGATCCGGCCACCTGTTCAGCGGTAATTAGTGTAATGTAAAGACCCGGCACCGGGTCCTCGAACTCCTGTAGCGACAGACGGCGGCTGCCGCAGCCTCTGCAGCCTTTTGGTGGGATTTCCCAGACGGGCTGAGGGGAGGCCCGGCCGGGTCACCAGGGGCCCTCTAACGAGTCCATTAGCCAAATGATATGGCTGAGGCAGCGGGCCTGGAGAGGGAGGGGGCCAGGACGGGTTACCGGGTCTTCCCTGCCCCCACCCCACCCCACCCCATCACCTCCACCCTCTCAGCCCCCAACTTGGGAGGGACGGTGTGCAGGAAGAGGGAGCCCTGGACGCAGCCGTCACGCAGCCCACCTGCCCGCCACCTGCAGCTCCGGGGGAGGAACCCAGCAGGCTCAGAGAACGTGGAGGGGACCGGGACTTAGTGGCAGACCTAAGTCAGAGAGGGGCCTTCGGCCGAGGGTTGGGAGGCACAGCGCCTTGGCTCCTCAGGGCCCAAGTGTGTCCTTCTGCCAGAGGGGAGACCAGCATGCTTCTCACAGCCATCAGGGCCGCTGCACGGAAGGGCCACCAAACACGGTGACCAGCTTGGGACATCCTGGGGGGCGCTGGGGCCGCTGTGCATGTCAGCGTGGGCATGCAGGGTCTCCGATTCCTCTGGGAGGAAGGAGCCCCCATTCAAATGGCAGGGTGGGCGGGGCTCCTAACGCACCTGCTGCCCTCTCCCCGCAGACCCCCCCCCCCCCAGAGGGAACAAGGGCCCCAGCAAAACAGCCAAGATTTGCACACAGGACCCCAGCCCCAAGTCCGCCCCAGGCCTGAGCTCTGTCCCTGGGCCTGGAACGCACACCTGTGGGAAGAGGCGGGGGCAGGGTTGAAGGAGGTGAACTTGACCGAAGGCACCATTTGCCCATCTGCGGAGGAGACGCGGGCTCACTCCTCTGCTCGCTCTCTGTCTCTCTCTCTCCCCCTCCCCTCCCCCTCCCGCCGGCAGCCACAGCTTCTGCCACCTCAGCAACTGCTAAATAGACCAATTAGTGACGACTTCCTGCCATTACCCGCCGTGGAGTTGTACATTAGCGCGACTATTCAGCCATAATTTCGCGTCCGAAGGCACTAAAAAGTTCACGCGGCGAAGCGCTGAGGCGTCTGCGCCGTGTCTGTTGTTATTTGTGTCTCTTCCTCGAGGACGCGCCCCGGCTGGGGTCGGCGGCCGGGTGACCCTCGCCGCCCGCTGCCTGGGCTGGGGGCGGGGGACCGAGAAGGCGCCCGCACGGCCTGGGGCAGACGCCACCTGAACAGCTACTTGCAGCCCTTAGAAAGCGCGTCCTGGATGAGGAGACAGTTTCCGGTGCTCATGGGTGTCGGTCTTAAAATAAGACCCTCCCCCCACCTCGGCCTGGGGTGGGGGGCGAGTCTCACTCACCGGGAACCGCTGGTTCCGAGAGGGTCCTCGGGTTGCAGCTGCTGAAAAAGCCGCCCCTGGGCGGGCGTTATAAACCTTGTTTCCCACGACAGGAGGGACCTGCAATAACAAAATTAAATTCCATTGAACCCCTTCAGCAAAAACACAGAGGTGTTTTCTCTCCCTGTTGAGGGTAGTTGCCCCACTGTGTGCCTGAAGGGCTGGGACAAGCTGCCCCTTGCTGCCTGAATCCTTGGGGTGGGGGCGGAGTTGTCCCCCGCAACCTAGCTGGAAAGGCTTCGGGGTGCCCGTGGGAATGGGAGCTGCAGAACTGATCAGCTCAGCTCCCTGTCCGCAGGGGCCCGGCCGTGAGGCCCCCACACCAGGCCCAGACTCCCGGCAAGTCGGGGGAAGCAGGGAGACCAGACTGCCCAGGGTCTGAGCATCAAGCAAAAACATTTTGTGTCTGGAGGAATTTTCTAAAAATAAGCGGCCTGTCGGTTGCCGGTTTTTTACGCATTTTTGAAATCCTGCAGCGTCCCCTGGCCTTTACCAGGCCCAGCAGAGAGCCCCCGTGTGGGCAGATGGTCCGCAGCCAGGGCTGGGCCCGGGCCGAGGGGACAGGCCCCAGACACCGGATCCAAGCGTAAAAGGCGAGGCCGACAGGGAGGGGCCGAGAGGAAAGGCACCCAGCGGGACCTGAGGCGGGGGCGCGCGGAGAGGAAGGGGACCTCTGGCCGGAGCCAAGGCTCTGCTCTGCGGGCTCCCACCCTTCCCTGACGCCTTAAAGGCGGGCGCAGGGGTCAGGGAGCAGGTTAGCAGATCAAAGCACAAGGGCTAACGGTGGGACATCTTAGACCCCTGGCGCTCTGCTGGGGGCGGAGACGCCCGCGCGGATCCCCCGCCCCTGGGCTTGCCTTCCGGTGACCCCGGCGGGCGCGCAGGTCCCTGCTCGCGGCGCGGGGCCTCCTCCGCACAGTTCCCCGCGCCGGCTCTCCGCTGGGACAGGGCTGCTCGCGACCCGCAGGCTCGCACTGCCCGCAGCCAGCACCTTCGCTAGGGACGCGGCCGCCTGGGGTCGAGCACCACCGCCGCCGCCGGAGCTTAGGCCCTGACCCGGGGCGGGTGGCGTAGCGCCCCTGGGCCCGTTTCCCGAAGGAAACCCTGAGAGGTTAAGCCGCAGTTTAAGGAAAGGGCACCGCCACCCAGAGCACGAGTTCAGCAGGTCAGGCCGAGGGCACTGTGTGCGGCCCAGGGTGTGCGGCGTGGGAACCTCGGCTCCGAAACAGGCGGGTGGCGCCAAGGGTTCTCGGCTCAGGGTCCAGCCACCCGCGCCTGCCTCGACGCCCGCCGGTTCCCCGCTCGGTGCACCTGCCCCACTTCACACCCAAGGGAGCAACGAGGCTCGGCAAAGCCGATACGCGTGTCCTACCTCTGAACCCGTCAGCATACCCCTCCGTGCGTTTATCTGGAAGAAGTTTCCAAACACAGGAGGCCCTCGGGGTGATGGATTTGGGGCATTTGGATGTGGCAGCACATTCCCCTGACCTTTTAACAAACACGTGCATCTGCAGCAGGGAACAGGCATGAAAATGGTTGTGTAAATCCCCGATTCTCATCTCTGGGCAGTGGGGGAAAGGGCGAAGGGAGAAGCATTCTGAACCCTGGAGGAAGGCCATCTGGAAGAGAAAGGGTTGGGGTGGGAGCTGGGCCGTCGGAAGTCACACCAGGCCCGTGGGGCTGGCTGGAGGCTGCCCCGGGCCAAGGGCGAGAGGAGCGACCGGAGACCCTGGACGGGCCTCCTGCCGGAGCAGACCTGGGATCTCCCACCGCAGCCCGCCCGGCTCCGGCCTGCCTCCCCATCTTCAAAGGCAGCTGGGCTGGGCCAACACAGAGGCTGGACACTGGAAACAGGAAGGGCCCACCCCACTCCTGAGCTCTTCCCAGGCAGTAACCCCCACAAAGGCCCCAGCTTTCCAGACTGCCTCATCTGCACACAGGTGCACAGAACCTACCTCTAACGTGTGTCCACTCATTCTTAACATGTCCGTGGTCCCTGGAAAGCCCTTTAGTGCCATGGAGTCCATTGGGTCTAATGCGGGCTTTTCTAGACAAAGAAATAGAAATTCACCAAAATACAGGAGTGTGGACATCCGGGGAGGCACTGCAGTTGGAGGGGCAGCCAGGACCGGCAGTCGTGGGCCTCTGCGGTCACCTCCCTGGGCCCCGCTGGTGCGGGTGGGGGCTAAACCAGGTGAACCTGGGCCCGGGCTTTCGGCCTGTGCACCAGGAAGTGCTCGAAGCTTGACTGGGGAGGGGGCACACGGGGGAGGTAGGTTTTTTTGTAATTTGACAGCACACTTACTGTGGGCCGTGGAGGAAGCCCTCTGGGACTTACAAAACACAAGGTTGTTGTTGAGGGAAGGGGGTGTTTGGTAAGTCTAGCCTGCTGACTGGTCCCCAGCTGAAAGGGCCCTGGGGCCCTGGCAGTGGCTGTTCTGGGTGGGAGAGAGGGCATCCAGCTGATCCCAGGGAATTCAGGTGGCAGTCACTCTCGCCCCCAGCCTCCCCGGTCTAGTCGATGGGTGGGAACCCTCGGGACCAGCTACCTGTCCCAGCAGACAGACAGAGGGAGAGGTGACGAGACCCAGAAAGGCCTGTCAGCCTAGGAGCTCAGCCCTCCGTGTGTGTGGGAGGAGGCGGGGGACGGTCACAATTGCTCTCTATCTTAGGGAGGCAGATGACACCCATGACTCCCTTCTGAGAAGGGTGAAGGGTTTTCTGCCCAGAACAGGTAGCTCTCAGCACCTCAGGCCTCTGCACAGCCCCCCTTCCCCCGGGGCACCAGGCAGGGGCAAAGGGGACACAGGGGTGGGACACTGGAGGGCTGAGGAGGGAGGGGGTGGCCCCGGCAGCCACATCTGGTCAGTCCCAGTTCTGCGGCTGAACAGTTAGCTGGGGAGAACAGTCTCAACCTCGCTGACCCTGCCCTTTATAAAATGGAGGTTGAGGGAGATAATTCTAGAAAGCTCACGGGCACATGGACATGGGTGTGTCCCCTGCTTGCTACTTAGAAGCAGGGCTGCATTTTTATTTCCTCAGAAAGATGTCACCGGAAGGCAGAACCACCCCCCTGTAAATGAGGTCCTTCCTACTTGCCAGTCGATGCTGGGTTTTGCAAGGCTGCCGAACATTCACTACAGGTCGAGGTGGCCCAGGGCGCCCTCCCAGTCTCCGGCTACTCCTGTGCGTCTCCCGGAACTACCCGGTGGCAAGGACAAAGAAACGCGACCCCACAACAGACCCCCTGCAACCAACTCTCACAGAGGTAAAAGGCCTTTTGAGGAAAAACGACACGGTCCCTACACAGTATTTACCTTTGGGAAAAACTCCCTCCCGTGGCAACCGAACCTGCTAATTTCAGAGCGTTCCTGGCGCGAGTGTGTCCCGCCCTCCGCCCCTCCCCAGGCCCCTGCCTGCCCTGTGTTGGCCTCTCGGCTGCGGGAGAAGCCGGGCTTCTAGAACCTGAAACTACCCTCTTCCTCCACCCCCCACCTTCCCACACCTGTCCGGGGAAGTAACGAGCTCTAATGGCGCTACTGACGAAGAAGACTGGTGTTGGGGTTACCTGTGCGGTGACTCTCTCCGAGTAGAAAAGCCCTTGTAAGTGTTTTTACTGTGAATATTTGAGGCATGGGGGATGGGTGGGAGAGACGGGCCTGGATTCTCACGCCACTACCTTACTCAGCCTTCCGGCCGATTTTCCTGGGCGCTGCAGGCCGGAGTGGGGCACCCACAGCGTCGTCCGAACTGGGTCAGTGCGGCCAGCCTCGGGGCAACGCCTGCCCCGGAGGTGGAGGCGGGCACAGTGTCCTGTGAGCCCAAGGGGATCCCTGGCAGAGAGAAAGAAAGGGCTGCCACCGCGGACCTGCTGCACGCGAGGCAGACTGGTCTCCAGGCCGCCCCAGTCTGCAGGCCGCAGGCACGCAGACGCTGCCCTCGGCGCTGGGGCCGGGCGGGGGCCGTGGCGACCTCTGTGGACCGCAAACTGGCGCGCACACGCGCAAGAACGAGCCCCACACACGACCCTTGAAGCGCATAGCACTCTCCAGAAGAGGTGGGAAGGTTCCACCTGCAGAGGGCTGGCGACAGACACGAACCGCTCCTGCGCGCCGCGGAGACCTGGGAGCGAGGCCTGGGGGCCGGTGTCGGTCTTCTCTGCGCTGCAACCACTGGGCAGGGCGGCTGGCGCTGGAAGCAGCATGGGTGCCCCAATGCAGAAGTGGACGAACTCTCCCGCTGGTGAGGCGGCGGGAGAGGACGCGCTCTGCTGGCCCTGGGGGACACGGGCTCAGAGCGGGAACCAGTGTCTGGGAGTCTGGAGTTTGGCAGCCATGGGGGCCACCCCCGGTCACCCGGGGTCGCCAGTGCCTGCCGCCCTGCTCAGCACCCCAAGGAAAGTGAGCAGAGACCCTAGGTTGCTCCTCACAGCTTTCCAACCCTGGTAGCTGTCCCCTCCCTGCCACCCCAGCTCGACACCCCGGGCTGTTTAGGACCCCGCGGCGCAGGGGCGGGGCGGCGGGCGGCCGCGACGGTGACAGGTGCGCCCTGCGACCAATGGCCAGGCCTGCGCCCCTCCCCGGGCCCCCCCACGCGCGCCAATCCGCGGCCGCGCTGCGCTTCAAGTGCGCGCAGGGGCGCGGGTCCCCAGCACGGCGCCAGCGGCCTCCGCCCGGCGCCCCAGCACTCGCGTGGAGTTTGTGCGAGCGCGTGGGAGCGCGGCCGGGGCGGGGCCCTCGCGGAGGAGGCTCTGGACATGGTCACTCTCGGCTGAGTTTCCGGCGGCGACTTTGATTATTGGCAAATAATCATCGTAACAATACCGAGCCCTCGGGCTTGCCACGCCACGCAGACTCCGCGCCTCCGCACACGGTCGTATCACCCGCCACCCGGCCCGGATCGCCAGCCCCTCACGAGCCGATGGAAAAATCCAAAAATTTCCGCATCGACGCGCTGCTGGCAGTGGACCCCCCGCGAGCGGCCTCGGCGCAGTCCGCGCCGCTGGCCCTGGTCACCTCGCTCGCGGCTGCCGCTTCTGGCCCGGGCGGCGGCGGGGCGAGCAGTGGGACAAGCGGCGGCTGCAGCCCCACGTCCTCGGAGCCGCCTACGGCGCCAGCCGACCGCCTGCGAGCCGAGAGCCCCTCGCCGCCGCGCCTGCTGTCCGCGCACAGCGCGCTGCTGCCCAAGCCAGGCTTCCTGGGCGCGGGCGGCGCAGGCGGCGGGCCCGGGGCTCCGCACCACCACGCACACCCAGGCGCCGCCGCCGCTGCTGCCGCCGCCGCGGGGAGCCTGGCGCTGGGGCTGCACCCGGGGAGCGCGCAGGGTGGCGCGGGGCTCCCGGCGCAAGCCGCGCTCTACGGCCACCCAGTCTACGGCTACTCCGCAGCGGCGGCGGCGGCGGTCCTAGCGGGCCAGCACCCGGCGCTCTCCTACTCGTACCCGCAGGTGCAGGGCGCGCACCCTGCGCACCCCGTCGACCCCATCAAGCTGGGTGCCGGCACCTTCCAGCTGGACCAGTGGCTGCGCGCGTCCACCGCGGGCATGATCCTGCCCAAGATGCCCGACTTTAACTGTGAGTGCCGCGCAGCCCTCGGGCCCCGGGAGGGAGGAAAACTCGGGGTAGGGACTCCGAACAGGCGGTTCTCTCGCGCATCCATCCGCCTCCACCGGGCACCGCCCTCCTCTGGCTCTCTGCTCCGAGGTAGCTCTGCCCACGCAGCGATGCCGCCCCGCTCTGCCCGGCGCCTGCGAGGACCGTGCGGGCTACGCGGTGCAGGGTCGGCAGCAAATTATTAAAATGGCCACGCGCGGACCTTGCCTTCTCTCTCTTTCTACGGTCAGAGGCCGCTGGGGGAGTGAGGCTAAAATCTAATGATTAACCGGCACCCGGGGAAGAAGGAAGTGGCTGGGCAAGGAGCGGCTGGCAGCGTCCTGATTCTGGCAGGCCTGGGGGTCGGGAACCAGGCGCTCCGATCCGGGGAACCAGGCGTGACTTTGCCCCACATTCTGGGGTCCGGAGAGACCCCCCTGCCCTCCCAGGAGAGAGAGAGAGAGAGAGAGAGAGAGAGAGAGAGGGAGGGAGCAGCCGGAGATAAACGGGCCCAGAGACACCAGGGCTTCCCATCCTTCCCCGCGCTCTGCCTGCCCGTGGAAGGGCGCGCTGAGTCCACAGTGCGAAGCCCAGAAGGCGGCTGGGCTGACCTGACCCCAGCGGTGGCGCATGGGCCCGTGTGGGCGGGGAGATGCGCCCTCCTTTAGGGACCCCACCGCAGGGACTGTATGTGGCAGGTGCCCGTTTTGAATTGGGGGTGCCCAACACAGAAGCAAACCCCCTCCCCTAGGTAGGAGAGAGGGAGGGCTGGCTACCTCCAACACAGACAACCGGTGGACTGAGAGCCGGGTGTCCGCCATCCCCCGAGTAGGACAGCCCTCGGAGGCCCGGCCTGGCTTTCCGGGCTTGGGGGGCTGCGCACTGTGGAGAGTCCGGGGGTCTCCCCGAGGCCCCACCCGCCAGGCTCAGAGGAAGATGCACAAGGCTCCGTGCTTCCAGCGCCCAACACCCAAACAAAGAGACCCCATTGTTTCTGTCTGACTGGGTTTGTTTAGACTGAGGAGATGCAGACATGGGACAGGGAAAAAGCCAAAAAGAAAACAGAAATAAACACTTGCCAGCATTCAGATCCCTCTGTTAGAGGCCGTGGCTGTGACTAAACAGAGAAAAGCTAGGGCCCCGGAGGGCTGCAGAAGTCGCGGCCCCGTGCGAAAACCCCAGCGAAGGCACTGTTCGCCTGTGGCCGCCCTGGTCCTTTTGCTCAGCTCTGCTCCCGCCCCTTCCCATTGGGGAGTCTCTCCCTTGTGAGCCCCCACAAAGGAAAGAGAGAACTCACTCTCACTTCTCAGCGGGGAAGACACAGGTGGTCTCCGGTCAGCCAAACCCAGGACACCCTCGGGGTCCCGGTGACCAGCACACCCCTTCTGGAGTTCTCCTTCTGACCCGCCTTTCCCCAGAGCCCGGGACGCGCAGCCTCCCACTGTGGGGGAGTCTCGGTTTCCCCACTGGCCCCCCTGGGTGCTGGCTTCTGCAGCCACCCAGCCACTGTCTCTGGCCTTCATGGAGCCCAAGGTCACCCGGGAAACTGCTTAGAGCCACGTCCCTTTGCCAACGCACTTTGCCCATCTCTGGCTCCAAATTTTGACCCGGAGGCAGCTGACTGGACACCCAGGCAGCTCTCAGTCCAGGAAGGAATGCGGACAGGAGCCCTGAAGGGCGGTTAGGAGCCGGCCAGGGTGTGGAATGTGTCCGGGTGCCTCTCTGGTCGCCGGAAGACCCGTTCTGCTCCTTTAATCGGCCGTCTGTGCTGTTGCACAGGGCATTTCCCAAATGGTCCCTTCGGAGCCGGGGTTTTAATTAAAGTTGTCCTGCATTGTCGAGGTGGGAATTCGGGCCTTGTTTAGCTTAAAGCAGGGGGCGGGGGCCTCCCATAAAGCAAATTGCCCTTCCCAGGGGAGCCGCTGCTCCTCGGCAGGCCGGCCTCTTTTCTTCTTTCTTTCCTTTTATTGTCTGACGCTTGTCAGGCCCCTGGGAAATCAAGGGAAGTCTCGTTTTGAAGTCATAAAGTTCCCTGTGCTGGAACCGCGTGAAATTGTGTAAATAAAGTGCGGGACCCCCTTCAGTGCCCGGAAAGCAGAGTCCCCCCTGCCCTGGTCTTTCATTTGCATAATGAGCATCGTCCGGAAAAGAATTCCAGGCTCCTCCGTCCAGTCCCTCCACGCCTGGGGGGCAGGTTGTGAAGAAAACATTTTCAATGAGGGAAGGTCTCTGGTTAGCACTCCCGTGTAGGGCCAGAGTTAGTCCTTCCTCCCCCCCTTCCTCCGAGTTTTTCCCTTTCTCCTCCCCCCTTTGTACTTAAAAAGCCTGCACAGCCCCCGGCTGGGGAAGAAGCAGTGATTCCCGGGGGGGCGCTTGGATCTGGGCCTGAGTTGAGGCAGGCGAGTGAGAGGTGGGGGTGGCGCACCCTTCAGGCCTCTGTGTCTGGCCTTTGCCACCCTTCCCTCCTGCCAGCGGCCCCCTCCCCGCAGGTGGAAAGGGCGCACCTGGGTAATAGGCTCTTTTGAATCGGACACCCAGGCCCAAAAAGATCTGGCCCCATCAAACCTGAATCATCTGCTTCCACCCAGCCTCGAGCCCGGGCTCCAGCTGACCAGCCCCCTGGGGAGGGGCCGTTGACATTGACGGAAAGGGTGTCCAGGGTGGGGGGCCCTGAGAGTGGGAGCACAGCCAGGCTGCGCCTCACGCGGGGTCCCTCTCCGCTGGCCCCTGCAGCCCAGGCCCAGTCCAACCTCCTGGGGAAGTGCCGGCGGCCGCGCACCGCCTTCACCAGCCAGCAGCTGCTGGAGCTGGAGCACCAGTTCAAGCTCAACAAGTACCTGTCTCGGCCCAAGCGCTTCGAGGTGGCCACGTCGTTGATGCTCACGGAGACCCAGGTGAGCTGCCCGCCCCAGCTCCCCAGCGCCTCCTGGGCTCTGGGGACACTGTCACCTCTCTGCACTCCACCCTGCGGCCCGAGCCCCCGGGGCTGCTTCCTTCCCACCATTGGGTGCGGGGAGAGTGCAGTGCGCCCGCCAGGCCAGGACTCAGATTCTGCGCCCAGAGGTCTTACTCAGTGGGTTGGGGCGAGGCCCAGGGAGCTGCGAGTCCACGCCCCTGCCCTGCCGGGTCCTGAAGCGGCCAGCCCCAGGCCACTGCCAGAGACGAGCTGTTCCAGAAAGAGCGGAGGGGACATCTTGAGATTCGCAGGCTCGCGGAGCTGCCCTGACCTTCCTCCGCAGAAATGGGGTGCTCCGCCGGCGGAGTCGCGGTTCTAGCCCCATCCCGGCTCTGGGTAGGGACACAGCGGACCCTGGAGTTTGAGTCCTGCGACCTGAACCCCACTCGCGGCGGGGACTTGGTATGGAAGCGGGTGGAAAGGGCAGCGTCTGACCCCCTTGTGCCCCCAGGTGAAGATCTGGTTCCAGAACAGGCGGATGAAGTGGAAACGCAGCAAAAAGGCGAAAGAGCAGGCGGCGCAGGAGGCGGAGAAGCAGAGGGGCGGCGGGGCGGCGGGCAGAGGCGGCGCCGCGGAGGACCAGGGCGATGAGGGGCTGCTGGGGCCGCCGGCGCCTGCGGACAAGGGCAGCGCGCGGCGCCTGCGGGACTTGAGGGACAGTGACCCCGAGGACGACGAGGAAGACGAGGACGAAGACCATTTCCCCTACAGCAACGGCGCCAGCACGCACGCCGCCTCTTCCGACTGCTCCTCCGGGGCCGACTCCCCGCCCCCCAGGCCCGGGCACCAGCCCCCGCCCCAGTAGGACCCGGGCCTGCGACAGGGACGCAGGGATGCCTGGACGCTGAGGCCTCGCGCCTTTCGCGGCCACCACCGCCGGACCTCCAGTTCCCGAGGCGTCCTGGGGGCTGCCCGCGTGGGCCACAGCCCCTCTCTGCCCTTCCATGGACAGAGAGGCAGGCCCAGCGGGTTCGAACTTGAACTCTTGTTCTTATCAATTTAATTTCGGGTAGTGTCGGGGAGCGGTATCTGCGAGAAGAGCCACAGCCACCAGGGGCGGCCTCCCAGCTTCCCCGCCCGGAATGGAGAAGGCAGAAACCTACAGTGTTAAACGACCTGGAAACTTGAACCCTTCTCTGGAAACGCCATTCTTCTGAGTCTTGAAAAAAAGAAAAAAATGTTTTGTGCTTATGTATCTTAGCGGGGAAAACTATGTCATGGGCGTGCAGACTGCTGGAAATCTCAAAACTGTACTGTCTTTATTTTTGTACATTGTATTTATATATAAAAAAGAAACGTCTACTTATGCATGCTAAATTATTTAGCTTCTCCCATCGCCCGCGATGGAATGTAAAATAAATTGGTTTTTTACTGGATTAGCGTGCAGATCTCTTGCGGGGGCGTTAGGGCACCAGCTTTACCATTTTTGTTGTTGAGGGATGGTGGTCCCCCCACCCTCCCTGGGGCAATTCCCAGCTGGAGGTGAGAATATGGATCTCGGTTCGCAGCCGGGTGTGAGGACCGCCTCCTTCTGCGCCCTGAGCGGGCGGGGAACTGGATTCTGCTGCTGGCGAGTCGCAGGTGCGAAGTGCCGGGGAAAGCACCTGAGGCCAGGTGTGCGCGGGTCCAGATGCCTGCCTTGCATCTGTCCCGGATGCCGAAACCCAGGAGAGCGACTCTGGACCTGTGTTTGTTTTCTTGCTTCCCTGGCGCTCCCGAAATGGAGACACCCTCTGAATGTTTCAGAAAAGAAGCCGGACTGGCTCTGGGGGTCGGTGTGGCCAGGGCGCCCGCTAGCGCGCATATCCCCTACGGGGTCGCGGAGGGCCGCGCTTCTCCTTCCCCAGCGAGGGACCCCCCCGAGCGCCGGCCCGGCCCAGTTTTCTCGGATCTGCGTGCAAACGTCCGCGCTGACGGAGTAGGCGACAGAAAGGCTTCGCGCCCGGCCTGCTCCGGGCTAACAAACCTCCGCAACGCGCCATCAATCACCCGCCGGCCCGCGCATGTGTGCCGCACATGCCCGCCGCGTGCGCCCGGCCGGCTCCCCGGCCCCCGCCGCCCGCTGAGCGGGGCCTCTCCGGGGCCTGGAGGATTTCCGAGACAGGGACACTACCCCTCTTTCTCCCTCCTTCGTGCCTTTCTCCTTCTTTCTCCCACCCGGCGCCTGGGCGCGGGGTGAGCTCCTCCGCCCCCTCCCCCAGCGCTCCCCGGGCTCCCGGCTGATAAATGAGTTCAGAAGGGCCTGGCGTTTCATTCGGGTGATTACGCGCAGGCCAGCGGGGCCACTCCTCTGCCTCGAGGCCCGGGTGAGATTAATATCCTCTCTGGCAGCTCATTATCACCCCGGGCTCCTTCCATAAAATTCAACCCCAGCCAAGGCCCGGGCGCGACCGCGGGAGCCCGGCGGGAGCAGCGGTTGGGCGCGGGCCTGGCCGCCTCGGAGTCCAAAGGTGCTTTGGGGACGGGACTGGGGTTGCAACTGGTGGGGAAGCGAAGGGAGGGGTGGGTAGGAGAGGAGGGAACGTGCCTTTAGGTTAAAAGCAATCTGCAAGCTGTGTGTATCTCGTTTTAATTTCGAATACCTCGGTGAGTTCAGCCTGCAGCGATCACTTTCCGGGCTGGCTCCACATCTGGAGTTTATTCCCGCGTCCCCTGCTCGGTGGCCCAGTATCGGCGCCCCCACCGCAACGCTGGGCAGCCGCCCTGGAGTCAGGCTTCAGTCCTCAGCGTGGCTCTGTCCCTTCGCCCTGGGGGACAGACCCGCTCCCTCCACGACAAGGGGAAGGGGGCACTGAGGGACATCATTATTATGGTCCCGCCCCCGCCCCGGACGAGCCAGCCGGGGCTTGGCGTGGGGACTTGGCGGCTGGGAAGGCAGCGCTCACGGCCCTCGGCCCCGGCGCTCCAGCCAGCTTCTTAATCGCGGCGGAATTTATCTCACTAATAAATTTAATGATCAATTCGTTCTTGTCACAGTAGCTCTTCCCCAAATCAATTATAGCAAATTTAAATACAATCACTGGCTCGTCCTTGCCCACTCCGTGCACAGCGAACAATTCATCCCGCGTAATGAGCCCCGCCCGCCGGCGCAGCCCTGGTCCTGCAGGCCCCCTGCGCCCGGAGGGTGGTTCCCAGCACCAGGGCACCGAGGCCCGGCTCAAAGACGACCAGCCATGGGTTCCAGACAAGCCCAGGCTTCCTGGCGGGCCGGTGGGCCTCTGGCCTGGAGCCCTCCCTGGTGCCACAGGGCTGCCCCGACCACCCTCTGAAGGGTCCCACCCGAGGTGCCCACCCTGGCCAGGTCCCCCCTTTGTTCCCCCAGCAGGTTGTTTGTGGCCTGTGCAACGTCCCCAGCAGAACTGAAAGGATGGGAAGGAATCCTGTTCGCAACAGAGAAACCAATCTACACCTCCCCTCCCCAGCCAACAGCCCACGGGTGTCCTGCCCAGTCCTGCAGGCGCCCAGGGTCCGAACCGAGTGTGACAAGTGCATATGTGGCCAGAACCAACCCCAGCGGGCCTGTGTCCCCCGCCCTGGGCTTTCCCTACCTTGTCCCCAGATGGAGGCCACTGGGCACAGTCAGCTCGGAGACTGTCCACCACGCCAAAAGCACAGACAACAGAAACAAGAATAGAAGAACTTAACCGTCAACACTTCTGTGCAGTAAAGGAGCCCAGCGACGGAGTGAAAAGGTGCCCTGGCAGTGAGAGAACATTTGCAAACCGTATCCCTGCTAAGGGCCCAACATCCACAGCGGGCGGGGGGGGGGGGGACCCATGCCGTGCAGCGACCACGACGAAAATCCAGTGTAAACACAGACAAAGGACTGGAAAGGACGTTTCTCTGAGGAGGAAGACACCCTGAGTGGCCCACACAGCACGAGGAAGGCTCGCAACACCCCTGCTTCTCGGGGAAGCGCAGGCCGCATCTCCGTCTAGGACGGCTGTCACAGACACGAAACAAGACAGGAAGCAATGTCGGCAAGGACGGGAGAAGTTGGGACCCTGCGCACGGGTAGTAGCAGCGTAAAACAGTGCACACAGCCACTATCGAAACAGCCTGGACGTCCCTACCAAAAAAAAAAAAAAGGAAAGAATCAAATACACACTACAAGTATCTCATGAGCTAGCAACCTGCTTCTGGGTGTGTGTCCAGAAAGAATTAAAGGCAGGACCTGGGAGAGACGTTGGTCCCCGTGGCCGCTGTATCGAGACTCGACGGCCAAGGGGTGGAAGCAGCCCGGGGGGCCGGTCCCGGGATGGATGGATGGATGGATGGATGGATGGACCGAGGAAATGGGCCGAGGACGTGGAATGGAATGTTATCCAGCCCCACACAGGAAGGACCCCTTCTAAACGCCGCGGCCCGGCCCGTGAGCCTGGAGGAGGCTGTGCTGAGCAGAGCAAGCCAGCCACGGAAATGCTGCACCGCTCTCCTTACTCCGAATCGGACACAGTCAAACTCCGAGGGACGGAGAGTGGAAGGGTGGTTGCCAGGGGCAGGGAGGAGGGAAAGGGGGGCTGTCAAACGGGGGCGAAAGTTTGGGTGTTGCCCGAGGAACCAGTCCCAGAGATCGGTTGCCAACGAAATGTATCCCGTTAACAGGACTGGACCGGACACTCGGTGTGAAATGCTTAAGGTGGTCACAACAAAGGCAGACCTTCCTCCCTCCCTCTTCCTCCTCCCTCCCTTGCTCCACCTCCTCCCTCTCTCCCTCCCCCTCCCCACTAAAGATAGGGCAGGCTTGCTCGGGAAAATCCTGACCACAGACAAGGCCCAGGAAGGGAGGACCTGGCCCCTAGTCCCCACCGCCTGAGTCGGTCCTGAGAGCATGGGGCCCTGGAGCACCTCCCAGGTTTGCGGGTTCACGGATCCCCCACCCCGGGGCCTCCCTTGTGACCCCTCCCCCGGGGGTGGAGGGCAGTTCGGAGTTGCACTCAGGGTGAGAGAGGCCCCCAGGTGCAGGGCGGTGGGGCTGGCGGAGGGGACGCCGCTGGGAGGGGCCCTGGGGGGGTAGGGCCCTGGGGGGGGGCAGTGTCCTGGGGTGGCCGGCCCCAGGTGCCCCCACCCCGTGTCAAAGTCCTGCTCGCTCAGTGTCTCCCTCAATAAAACTAATCCCCCCGGAGGCGGGACCTCCAGCAGGAATGCAGCCCGTTGCAGGCCACGAGGGCAAATATGTTTTTCAGATTTGGTTTTTATGGTCGGATTACAGTTTATTTTCCGTAATAGGGCACCTAATAAAACCCGCATTGCCGGGCCGGGCCTCCAGCTGGTGGCCTCGTTCAACACTTTCACTTCGTAAATCACTTTACGACCTTCCAGGTGTGTCCCACGCGGGACGCCAACCAGAAACAGCCCCCGGCTCCCCACCCCACCCCACCCCCACCCCCACCCCCGGCCAGCCCTTTCCGGCCACCGGGGTCCCTGGTATGGGGTCCTGGTGCAGGCAGACCAGGATGGGTCTCCACCTCCCAGGACGGGAGACCCCCACCCCTGCTATCCCCGCACCCCCTCCAGAGAAGGCGGGAGCCCCCTCCCGCCGGCCCCGCGTCGACCCTGCATTCCGAGGCCCCTGCACCTGGTCGCCCCCCGCCCCCCAAGTGTACACAAGCAAGGTGTCGGGCTCGGTGCGGCTGCTCTGGCCATTGTCCACGGTGCAGGGCCGCACAAAGGGTGCCGCCGCGATGGGCTGGGGGCGCGGTTTACCCAGCTGGGGAGGAACAAAGGCAGCCGCCTTATCTGGGGCGGGCAGGGCGTGGGGTCAGGCCAGGGGCGCTGCACTGGGGCCCCTCCGCTGTCCCCCGGATGCAGCGACCTGTCAGCTCCCTGCTGCTCAGGGGCGTCCCCACCTGGCCAGGTGGGACCCCGACACCCGGCACTTGGAGGGGCACCTGAGCAGCTCTGGGAAGTTGGGGTGTGTGTGGTCAGAGCACTGGGGTGGGTGCTCACCTGCCGTGGTCAGAGCGACCCCGTTGCTGTTAACCCTCTGGTTTTCGTTTGTCTCTTTTCAATACAGTGGTGCACCTGGTTAATACCCTTTCTCCCTCCATACAACGCTGTCCTCTCTGCTGCCCTGCAGAAGAAGGAAAGACAAAGGCAGTCGGGGTGGTTCTGGGGCCGGTGGTGGGCTGGGGGGCGCAGGCAGGCCAGCAGGTGAGGGCGTAGGTGTGCCCTGCTAACCACGGCCGGGGCCACCCCCCGCAGAGGCTCCAGGGCAAGGCTGGAGCAGCCAGCACCATGACAGGAAACCCGCAGGTGACATAAACGGAGAAATCTGTGAAGGCAACGCAAATCGTGTTCCTTCCCA